TAATAATTAAAAAAAATATTTTCTCTTTTTGCCGTGGAATTGGAATTCACTTACAGCTCACCCTCCAGGTTTCCAGAGGATGTAAACTGAAGGGGAAGAGACTGCTCGCTCCCCCAGAGTCAAAGGTGGATTCAAACAACGTGCCTTTCAGTTGGCAATGCAACTCCTTACTCATTAGGCTACCAGAGCTCACTCCATATAGATTAAAGTCAAGAAAATCCTAAAGGGCAGTTCTCCATCACATGGGGTTTCTGTGAGTCAGAATCAACTCAATGGCATCCAACAAAGGGCTGCGGATATGTAATGGATTATTTGACTTGGTGTAGCAGGTAGCAAATTGCATTGTTCACTCAAAGGCACTGTGACTCAGCGGTTCGAATCCACCAGTAGCTCCAAGGGAGCAAGATGGGCAGTCTCCTCCTGTTGGTAGATCACAGTCCTGAAAGCCTAACCGGGGGGTTGTTATCAGAAGTGACTTGAAAGTAGTGAGTGAGTTTACTACCCATGTTTAGTCACCACATTGTGATCACTGTAAAAGAAAAAAAATATTAATTCAAGGAATCTGAGAGTATATAGCATGTAAGTAATCTCTGGGGCATTGCTTTAAGACAAAGATTATTGTCAGTTAGGAAAATGGGAATTCTAGAGACTGAAAACAAGAGGATGGTGATCACCACAATCATTTGGAAGACAAACAGAAACTAGGCTGATTAAGGTGCCAGTATGTGTCAACCCTTGCTGAGCATCTTATCTAATAAGAACAGCAATCCTGAGAAAAGATCAGGTATTATTTTCTGTCCAAGTCCAAGTTAGACCACTAGAAAGTGGCAGAGCCAAAATTTAAAACCCCTATCTTCTAAGGGTACAGCACTGGTCTATTTGCTGTACTGAAGTAACTTGGGGTTGCTGTGATGCTGAACGCTGTGCCACTGGTGTGTCAAATGCCATAATGGTTACTCATCGTGGTCAGTGTTTGGTGGAGCTCCTAGATTGATTCAGGTTTGGAAGCAGGAGTGGCATCCACTTCTTAAACCACATGTCTCTGGAAACACTATGAACACAGAGAAATAATGATAGTTATAGAACGAGGTTCAGGTCTTTTGTTCACAGGAGTCATGCTTGACTCGATGGCATTTAACAACATTTTCTGGGACAGGGTTCAGAGCCCTCCTATTCATGAGCCTTGCCCCCAGTGAGGCTTTTCAGGATCCAAATCACTATGGATATGCAGAGATGAAGTCAACTAGGAAAGAGAGTACTGTCCAAAGAGGAAGCACTGTAACTGAGCCCAAGAGCTTCCCTTTACAGTGGGAACAGCTGAGCAAATGATTATCAGCATTCGTTAAAGGAGCCCTCATGGCACAGTGCCAAAGGTATGGGGCTGCTAACCAAAAGGTCAACAGTTTGAATCCACCAGCAGCTTCATGGGAGAAAGATAGGCAGTCTCCTCTCACCACGACTTGCAGCCTTGGAAACTTGATGGACAGCTGCTTTGAGTTTGTTCCTACCCAATAAGAGGGGGTTAACATTATTAAGGGTTGACCATGTTGTATGGTGCGTAATGTGCTTGGCTGCTAAGCAAAAAGACTGGTAGTTTGATTCCACCTGACTTTCTGAAGGAGAAAAATGGGCAGTAACATAAAAGTCTATAACCTCAGAAACCAGGAGTTATTAAGAGTCATATATTAAACTCGATGGCACTAGGTATGTATCGGACACTACTGATGTTCAATCAGCCTTATTGTTTCAAGAGTTCTATCAGGGGCCCTGGTGGCACAGTGGTTAAAGTGCCAACTGAAAGCACAGTTTAATCTCACTAGTCTCAACCCATAATTGATCCTCTGAGGCAGTAAATTGTACAGGAGGAGACTGTCCATCCTTCTCTGGAGGTGCTGTGAATTAGAACCATGTGCCTCTGCAGATTACAGGGCAGCTTCTTACCACTACGCCACAGTGGTAAGGAATTGCACTGCCAACTCAAACGTATGCCATTCAAATCTACCAGCTGCTCTGTGGGAGAAAGATGGGCAATCTCCTCCTGTGTGAGTCACTCTCTCTGAAAACCCACTGGAGGGCCAGCTACGAGTGGGTTACAATTTGATGGTACACAACAGCAAGGAGCTCTGGAGGCTTACAGTGTTAATCCAAAGGCTGTGTGGCTCATGTCTCAGGCAGTCTGAATCCTCAGTAGAAAGATAGGTACTCCTTAAGATTTATAACCTTAGAAACCAACTGGAAACTTGCTATGACGGTCTGACGGCAGTGAGCAAATAAGTGATGGTCTATTTTACCCACTGCCAGTCGATTCTAAAGTTGTAAATCTTCGTCCTTTTATGTATCAGAAGTTTAACACATAAAGCATTACGCCATCTGAGCTATTTACAATCTATCTCGGTGGGTGCCATTATCAATAACATCTTCAGAGACAGATAGTTATGACTTGCCAAAGAATGCCAAGCTCTTACCTTGGCCTCTGTTCTGGTTCAAAAGCAATAATTCATTATTAAAAGAAAAAGAAAAGACTCAGAGACTCTTTAACTCACAGGAAGGCAAAGAGAAGTTATGAAGGCAAGGATACCTGTAGGTATGACCAAGTCCAGGATTTTCTTAATCGGTATCATTAACACCAACACCACAACAGCTGTCTTTACTGATTGTGCTAAACCCCGCACTAAAGCGTATTATACAGCAACCCTCCGTGTATTATTTGCTTTTACAGGGGCAGACAGTGAGGCTCAGAGGAGTGAGAGAATCCTCTAGGATCATAGAATTCGAACACTTGTTTGAGAGACTTCTGAGGCCCACGATCCTTCCTGGACACCAACCACCATAATAACAAGCCATGCTCGAAAGAAATTTATAAGCAAAAGTCCTCTGATAAACAACAATCGCAAATGAGTTGAAAATAGGTAGAAAGAGCTGAACAGCGGCCTCACTGAAGAGTGGAAACTATGCTCCAAGCCCTGCCCCTCTGCTCTGGGAAGGAGAGGATATGGACCTGGGGCCACTTATCAAGGTCCCCCGCCTCACCTCCTAGAACACTCGCGATTTTGATCCCGTTCTCCACCCGCCGGTCGTAAAGTTTACCCACTCGGGGGCCCCGCAATTGGGATCGGAGTCACCGGAGAAGCCGCCTCAGCCTGATTCCCCCGAGTCCTGCCAGGCCCGGGGCAGAGGCCGAAGCCCGACCGCCATCTTGCCCCGGGGTGTTTGTGCTCAGCGCTCCGGCAGGAAACAAGTACCCAGTTCCTGGATACTAGCGTTCCGCACAGCCTCTGCACCGGGGAAGGAAACTCTCCCCGCACCTCATCCTCGTCTCTGGCAACTGATAACTTGACCCAACGGGACTGGACCAATGCCTGATACAGCTGAGAGGCTGAAGTCACTCGGGCAAGGGAGGTGGAAATGAAAGTGAAGGCTGCGCGCACAAGCCCACAACGGACGCTTTAAGAGAGTGCCCTCAGGGGGGGCGGAAGAGGCCTGCGTATAGCGGAAGGGCCCGCCCCGGCCCCGCCTCGAGCGAGCTGGGTATTTTCTGCCTCACTCAGTCCAGGTCTGGAGACGCGCCCTTCGACTTTTCATGGTGAGGAGACCGTGTCCCCCTGTGGGGGGCTGTGGGCGACCGAGGGAGCTAGGCAGCGGCTGGGTAACGGCAGAAGGGACCCAGAGGACGGGGCACCATGCTGTAAGGGGAGAGACTGTGGGGGGACTCAAAGGGGGGCGAGGATCGGAGTGGGGGAAGGGCTTTGGCTGGCGGACGGGCTGCGGTCGCTGGCTGTTAGGGATTTGGGAATGGACATTTGGGTTTGGGGAGTGTGTGTGTGGTTGAGAGAGGGGGTGGGGGTTCCCCAGAACCTTGTATCCTCGTGGAAAATTGGTAACTGAAGAGAACAAAGAGATGTCACTGGAGAGAGACATGGGGGGGGGGAGTTGGAAGTGAATTTGGGGTTGGTGGTGTAAAATGGACAGGCTTCCAGGGGGTGAGGTGGGATTCCTTGGAGTTTTTAAGTATCTGGCAGAGCGGAGGGAAGAGCTCGAGAGAGTTGGCAAAGGGGGGTGCGTTCAGTGCTTGGAATCTCGGGGAACGACGCCAGGGCCTGAGGTCAGGATTTCTTCACCGTGGAGTTAAGCATCTCAGCTGGCGCTTGCATATCTATCTAAGTCACTTCCTTTCAGGCCCCACAGTGGCCACACCTAAGGAACTAGGGATGTCTCCTGTGCTTTGGGACAGTTTGGCTTTCCTGGGGATTCTTCAGGGATCTGCCTCTTGAATATTTATTTGTATGAGCCCGTACTCTTTTTGTTTGGGGAAGTGCAGTCTTTAGGGGAGGGAGCAGGGGGCAGAAAATGAGTTCAAAGAACATGCTTGTAGATAAATGAAACACTGGTGTCAGACTTTGGGCTGCTCTGATTTGGGGAAAATAAGGGCCAGAGTCCTTGTAGCATAGTGCACCATCACCTGAGGAAGCCCATGAAAACCCTATGCAGGTCTACTCGGGAACTCAGTTCCTTCACATAGCTTCTCCGTGAGTTGAAATCAACTTGATAGCAACTGTTTGTTTCGATTTGAGAGGAAGGAAGGGGCCCACCCTAGTGGTTCTTGAAATGTGGTCTCCAGACCAACAGCATCAAGTTGCTTTGGGAACTTGTTAAAAATGCCCCATTTGGGGGCCTCACTTCAGATTACTGTGCCTGACATTGTGGCGATGAGGCTGATGATCTGTTTTGTTTTATTGAGCTGGCCAGAGCATGAGAATAAGGATTTCTTCATTTTGGTGGAGTGGAGGAAGAGCTGTGAGGTTGGGGTCAGAGAGCCTTTGTGATTTTGTTTCTTAGTTTCTTTACTTGAGAAATGGGAATGATAACATCTTTCTTAGATTCTTACGAAAAGCAGGTCCACAGTTTGTGTACTATACATCAGGAGAGAGTACCAGTCAGCAGAATGCTTGGGAAAAGCAGTATTTTAAAAAGCTATAAGCATGTTTGAGTGTAAAATAATACTGTAGTTGTTACTAGTTGGATTGAGGTTTTCAGCTGAAATGAAACAGCAGACTTTTTCAAGTTGTAAAAATGTCTCCAGTTTGGGGTAGTATTAAAATTACTTCCAGGCAGTATTTCTTTTTTTTTAATTTATTTTTTTATTTTATGTGTGTGTGTGTGTGTGTGTGTACCGTCAAATCAGATCTGACTGGTACAGGAGGCGATTGTTCCTCCTTCTCCAGCAGAGCATCTGGTGGATTTGAACTGTGCACCTCTGGGATTGCAGTACACCTTCTTGCTACACCTTCTTGCCACTAGTCCACCAGAGCTCGCCCAGGCAGTATTTCTTAATCCCTCTTATTCTAAAAATTCCCTGCCCTGATACTTTCACTGTGCATCTATGGTGAGTCGAGCGCAAAAGAAATAGCTACCTTCTTGGTTCAGTGGTCCAGCCTCGCCCTGGATGCATGTTTACCTGAAGTGCCTTTCAAGCATTAAATGCTGGTTCATTCCACTCCTGTTTTGATTAACTTGGTCTTAGGTGAAACCCAAACATCAGTATTTCTAAAATTCTCAGTGATTTTAAACACTACAAAATTTGAAAAACTACTTTAATATGTCTTAAAACTGCTGTAAAGGGCTGTGTGGCAGATACTTTTAACATTCATTCTCTGAGAGAGGTTAGAGAGATTAAAGCTCTAAAACTCCCATTTTGAAAGTTAATGGAATTTAAGACTTGTTTAATCACTTGTCTGAAGCACTCAGGAAGTGATGGGATTGAGTTTACCAGACTGGATAGAATCTTCCCTTCTCCCTAGAAGTCAGTTCTACAGGGAGTAGTGTAGCAAACATCTAGGAATCAGGGACTTGAACTCTTCCTACACACCCCACCTCTTGAAGCCTTCCTTGATCTGTCTACCCATACCCATTTGTAACTGGCAAGGACAACTTTCAGGTCCAGCATTTCCCATCTTCAGCTGAGTCTTATTTTTCAAGCATGGAAGCAGTTGCTTCCTGCCTGTAACTCAAGCTGTGAAGTAGGGGCTCAGCTTTTGTTTCAGTGCTTTGTGGTTTGTTTCTCTGTGTGGTTCAGGAACTCATTTGCCTGATAACAGCAAGAGATTGGGGGAACTTTTCCAAAACCATAGGATTGATTATAGCCTTAGTGAGGGTTACAGGCCCTCTGAGAACAGCGAGTTGAAATCTCGAGTGCACATTCAGCATTATTTGGTGAGTTTATAAAAATTTTGTTGTCTGGTCTGTGTTCCCCCCCACCCCCTTATTACGTCAGTGTGTGCTTGGGTAGGACTCAGGTGTCGGATTTGTAACGCTCCAGAGGTGATTGCTGTGTGCAGCCAAGTGGAAAGCCACTGTTAAGAATCCACAACAGTATATTCAGGAAAACTAGGGAAAGAGAGATGCCTTGCCTTATCCATCTAGCTGGAATAAAATTATTCCCTGAGTGAGTAGAATGGGTAACTAATATCTCATAGATCACTTATTTCATCTTATTTGTAACCTGTTCTCTTTGTTGGCCACCCATCCCCAAACTTATTAGTGATGAAATAAAATATTTGAAACAAATTTAAAAACAAGATCTTCTGAGGAATGGCTGGGAGAAATTTGCTATAAAAGGTTTATTGTTTACTGATTGGTATCCTTAGTTTACTGTTACTCAGACTCATATCCAGGAGGCTGGGCTCTATGAGGAGAAATGTGGGGTCAAGATTGATGGAAAATCTATCAACAATCTGTGTTACGCAGATGACACAACCCTGCTTGCTGAAACTGAGGAGGACCTGAAGCACCTGCTGCAGAGGGTCAAGGACTGCAGCCTCCAATATGGATTGAGGCTCAATGTCAAGAAGACAAAGATTCTCACCACTGGGCCAATTGGCAGCATCAGGATGGATGGTGAAGAGATTGAGATTGTTCACAGCTTTAGTTTGCTTGGCTCCACAGTCAACACTGTTGACACCAGTAGCCAGGAAATTAAAAGGCGTATTGCCATGGGAAGGTCTGCTGTTAGGGACCACTCCAAAGTACTAAAGAGCAATGGTGTCTCTCTGGAGGCTAAGGTGCGTCTGATAAAGGCCGTGGTCTTTGCGGTCAGAGAGTTGGACAGTGACCAAGGAGGATAGAAGGAGAATTGGTGCCTTTGAGCTGTGGTGCTGGAGAAGAGTATTGAGGATACAATGGACTGCTAGGAAAACAAACAGATTTGTCCTGGAAAGGGTTAAACCAGGTGGCTCCTTGGAGGCAAGAATTTTGAGGTTCCATCTAACATACTTTGGACGTGTTGTAAGGAGAGACCGGCCCTTGGAGAAGGACATCATGCTTGGGAGGGTGGAGGGACACCGCAGGAGGGGATGGCCCTCTATGAGGTGGATTGATTCAGTGACTAGGGTAATCGGGATGGATGTGTCAGAGACAGTGCGATTGGCACAGGACAGAGCAGAGTTCAGGGCTGTTGTACATAGGGTCACTGTGAGTCGCAAGCGACTCGCCAGCACATAACAACAGCAGACTCACAGAACACAGCCAGAATCTTCTCTCCTGAGGCTTCTAGAATTTAAGCTGGCTGACTTTGGGGTGAGGTAGAGCGCTCGAGGATAGTTCAGAGCTTGCTTTACCTGCTGCAGAGTCTTCAGCTTGATCAGAGTCCTTTCTGCCTTTATCTCTTGGTGGTTCAGTCTGATGTCAGTAGAGCTGGAAATTATCTGACGGAAAATAAGAAGAGATATGCGAGACTTTAGGAGACTCTTCCAGGAAAAGAGAAATGAGAGACTTTGGGAGCATTCTCACAATATCAGAATGACCAGTCATGTTTTGGGGTTTGCTCTGAGCCCCAGAGGCTCTGCTGAGGGCTGTCTGTGGTATCATTTGATAGACCAGCTGGACTCAGAAAGATGACTCACAAGGCGCCCACGTCTAGTAAGTGCCAGGGTGGGGCTTAAACCCAAGCTGTAACCGCACAGGGAGTCTCTTGTCTTTTTTTCAGAGGGCTTTGTAGTCCTTTTTGAAGAAGCAGGGGCTCTCAGCACCTTTGTATCATAGCTTTAAATGATCTGGATTGAGCATTGATTTAAACTAGACCACCCCTTTATATGAACTAGGAGAAGAAAAACAAGTGTGACTCACCATATTGGTGACATTCCCTTTGTTATGTTGCCCTGGAATTGAACTCACATTGTCTCCACAGTATGTCTGATTGTGCTCTTGTTGTATGGACTGCTTTTTATATATTTGTCTATTGAGTTTTATTGCTTAGTAGTGTTACTCAAGTCTTTCAGGTCTTTATTGATCTTTCTAGGTCTGCTACCAAAAGTGGTGTGCACTATTGTTATTGTGTGCTGTTGAGAAGGAACCAACTTAAAGCTGATCCTCTAGTGGAGTTTTTTAGAGGCTGTAAATATGCATCAGAGAGCTGGATAATGACTAGGGAGGGTAGAAGAAGAATTGATGCCTTTGAGTTGTGGTGCTGGAAAAGAGTTTTGAACATACCATAGATTGCCAAGAACACAAATAGGGCTGCTTTGGAGAGGGTGAAACCAAGTTTCTCCTTGGAGGCTAGGATTTTGAAGCTCCATCTCACATACTTTCAGTACGTGGCCAAGAGGGACCAATCCTTGGAGAAGGACATCATACTCAAAGGGATGGAGGGACAATGCAGGAGAGGAAGACCCCAGATGAGATGGATTGATATAGTAACTAGGACAATGGGGGCAGTTGTGTCAGAGTCATTGAGACTGGCTCAGGACAGGGCAGGCTTCAGAACTGTTGTACAGGGGGTCACTATGAGTTGCAGGTGACTTGACTGCACATAAGAATAACAAATTACATGGGAGGATATTGCCCACCTTTCTCCCTTGTAGCAGCTGGTGGATTCAGACCACATGCTTTGGTTTGACAGAGCAGTTCCTTACCCACTAGGCCACCAGAGCTCTCCCCACTGTTATCATAGACCTATTTATTTCTCACTTTAATTCCATCAGTGTTTGATATATCTTTTGGAACTCAGCTTGAAAATATTTCTTGGAAAAACACTTTTCTTTCCAGGAGACTTTCTGTCTATTTCACTGTGTTGTATCCTGACACAAGTTGCTCAGCAGGGGATTTCTTCAGCCACCAGCATTTTGGGAAGAAATTGAGTGTATTGCCTATGAACTCATTCAGGAAGACTATATTAAGGCTAAAGCTGTTCCGTGATAAAGGAGGAGGAGTCCTCTTCGTAGCCACGAAGGGAAATGTTTGCGTTTAGGAGCATTATTTTTGTCTATGTACAGAATTGACTGCTAGCTGACAGTGGTTTGGACCCCTCAGCTGCCCCTTGGGAGTTGTTGCTGTTGTATATCGTCGAGTCACCTTTGACTCATAGAGACCCTCTGTACAGCAACTCTGAAGCCTGCCCTGTCCTGAGCCAGTCTCACTGATTCCAACCCCCATGTCCCTCGTTACTGTATCACTCCATCTCATCCTGGGTCTTCCTCTCCTGCGCTGTACCTCCACCTTTCCGAGAATGCTATCCTTCACCAACGACTCCTGGCCATGTGCAGAAAGTATATGAGACAGAGCTTCAAAATCCTAGCCTCCAAGGAGAAACTTTATTTTCATTTCTTCAAGAGTGCATGTGGTAATATGTGTCCAGAAAGGTTTCCAGCCTTGCAAATCCCAAGGGGTAGTTCTCAGGGTTGCTTGCAAGTTGGAATGGGCCCAGAACCAGTGGGTTTAGGTACGGATACCCTTGATTACCAGTTGGTCTTGGGTTTGCCCTGCTCCGTCACAATCGGTGGTGATGTTCTGTGAACACACCAAGACCTAGGTCCTAGCCGTTGGAGACTGCTTTTCTCTTTCCTAGTGCTACGCCCCAGAATCCATAAAGATTCATCTCACTCTTATTCAGCTTCTGCAGGTGAATAGTGTTGCCTATCCACTCAAACACTGTTTTTATGTGTCAGGTCTAATCCCTTTTCCTAAGTCCCGATTAAATCATACACACTGTCTTTGTCCTTATGCAGGCTGGCAGCACTGTTTGGTTAGGGGATTCTCACAGGCTCTCGGTGTCTGGGGCCACACTCCCATATGTAACAGTTGTTGTTGTTATGTGCCATTGAGTCACCTTTATGTAGCAGAGGAAGTCTCAGATTTTGCAAGAACTGGCTTCCAAGCATTTCTAAGTGTGTTGTTTCCCCCTCACACACACTTTCCTCCATAGAACATGTTAGGCATTGTCATTGGGTTCCCATATGGTTTCATAAAGTTTTGCTTCATCTGTGATTCAGCTGCTAGGTGACAGTGTCAACTTCCAGATCTTTAGTGGTGCGGGGCTAGGAGTTCTTTTATGGTGGATTGAGCAGGAAAGAATTCCTTGAAACCTATGTTTTAATGGTAAGCACAAGCCCATGGAGTCAGAAGGAAAAACCAGTTATGAGACTGTCTAATGGAGGCTAGATCATGACCATAGTACAGGATGGGGCAGGGTTCCGATCTGTTGTTCATAAAGTTTCTGGGAGTTTACGTGGACATGACAGCATCTCTAACAACAAGGAAGGTAGGGGGAAACTTCCAGGGAGCTACCAACATACTGACTCCCATGCAAATTATTACTCTCTTCTTCCAATATAACCTTCTCTAAGTTTAAGAAACACCAAAACGAGATTTTTCTTGTCCTTGTCAATTTGAGGAATAACTTCCAAGTTTTAAATGCAGATTCTGTGTGGACCAAGCAAAATGTATCCACAAGCTAGATTCAGCCCATGGGTGGAAAGAAGTAACCCAGGCCCAATGTCACGGCCTTGTCTGCTGTCCCCCACAGGAAGAGATGTCAGGAGAAAGTGTGGTGAGCTCAGCAGTGCCTGCGGCGGCAACTCGCACCACTTCGTTCAAGGGCACAAGCCCCAGCTCCAAGTACGTGAAGCTGAATGTGGGAGGGGCCCTCTACTACACCACCATGCAGACGCTGACCAAGCAGGACACCATGCTGAAGGCCATGTTCAGCGGGCGCATGGAGGTGCTCACCGACAGTGAAGGTAAGCCCTCCCACTCTAGGCACCTGCCTCTGGTCATACATCCACCTTCACAGGACATGCATTGAGTGAGCAGTTGTCCATATGTGCATGAGATTCCAGTTGTGTTTAGTGTAGAGTCCAGAGAATGTGGAACAGAGAGACTGGCCAGGATTTAGGTGGTGGATGGTCAAGGGGCTTCACTGGGGACGTACTGTTTAAGCTGTTGTGTGAGGAAAAGGGGCAGTCACCAGACTGTTTTGGTGATCTTCTACTGCGCTGTTGGTTTGCTGTGTGGCTTTGATGGAGTCCCTTCTCCACTCCAAGCCTCAACTTCCTTAGCTGTAAAATGAAAGTTGGACTAGTTGGCCATCTTGGCCATGTCTTTCTGTTAGGCTTCTTTGACTTGAGATGAAATGCAAGCCTGACAGTCCCTTAGCAATTTTTCTGCACCTTCATCCTCCTGGGATGGAGTCCTGATGAAGCTTTGAGTCCCAGTTCCCCTTTTGATCTTTCATTCTCCTCATTTGGTTATGTAATTTAGGGATAAAGATACTATGTAGTATTCACTGCATGCATTTCAGTGCTTTGTGTGTATGTAAGTAAAGGCAGGTTAGTGAAAGGCAAGTTCTTTGACATAGTCTTGCTATAAGTACTTCTGACCCATAACAATCAAAGAACACTTAACAAAGGTCCGTCCTTTCCTGGATGGGTTTATGAGGTCACATAAGGTTTAAAAAGGATCTGTCCTTTGTTCTCTGCCTGGGTAGCTTGACTATACTTGGCCTATTTGAGAGACTTAGCCTTCTGTGCTAATGGTTCTGCCTTTCCCATAATTTATGCCGGTAACTTTGGTGGCCTAGTGGTAAGAACTTGTGCTGCAGTCCTGAATGCATGCAGTTCGAATCCGCCAGCCGTTGTGCAGGAGAAGGATGGGCAGTCTCCTCCCATTTGATTAACTGCCTCTGAAAACCCACTAGAGGCTCGGCTATGTGTCCGTTCCACCTCAACAGTACACAACAACAACAGGCAGGTTTGGGGGCTCTGAGCCTGGTGTAAATGCACTCTGGTGGTATAGTGCATTACAAAAGGTCAGTGGTTCAAATCCAACAACTGCTCCTTAAGAGAAGGCTGGGTAGTCTCCTCCTATAAAGATTACAGCGTTGGAAGCCTGAAAGAGGATCAGCATAGAGTCAATGGCAGCGAGTTTGATTTGGAGTCTGGATAGTACAGTGATAAATGCTTGGCTGCTAACCTAAAGGTTGGCACTTCAGACCCACCAGCCACTCCAGAGACGGAAGATGTGACAGTCTACTTCCATTAAGATTGTTGTTATGTGCCATCAAGTTGCCTGTGACCCATAGTGACCCCAGGTACAACAGCTCTGAAGCCTGCCCTGTCCTGAGCCAGTCTCTCTAATTCCAGCGCACCAACTCTCATTGCCTCAGTTTCTTCTTACAACTGTTCCTCCTCCTTTGTGTTTCCAAATTTGAGGGCTCAGCCTCAGTTGCGATTATCTGTTAGTCTGTGCTTAAGTGTGCTCTCCTGTACATGCCTGTTATATTTCAGAAGTAGATGGCCAAATTGTTCCTAGTCTGTATTAATTTGGATGCTTAGTTGTGGAACAACAGTATCTAACAGACATTGTTCTGAGCAGATGAAAGACACTTTCCTTATAATAACCAATATATTAAAAAAATATGGAACACTTCATTAATTTGTGTGTCCTCCTTACACAGGGACCATGCATATCTTCTCTGTATCATTTCAGTTTTAGTGTATGTGCTGCCGAAGCGAGCATGCCTTAGCAACCCACTGTCCAGTAGGGTTACAAGCTTTACCAGTACTAGAGTTTTCAGAACCTGGTGGGGCATAGTTCTCTGATCCTGACAGGGCTTGAAGTTCACTATACCTTCTCATCTTGTTGTTAGGGTGTTACCCTCTGTGTCCTGGGAGAATGCGAGTCTGCAGGACTTGAGAGTCTAGCTTCCCTTAATTTCCTGAGATGTTGAGATACATTGAGGTTGGAGCCCCAGAGCTGTTTTCTTAGCCTCACCCGGAGCCCAGGGAGCATTTTATGAGTGGGAGGGTCTTTATTTCCGTGTCACACCCAGCCCAGCAGTCTGTGGAAATGAGACAATGGCATCCCTGCTGCTGCAGGAAATAGACCTTATCTGAAAACTCAGATTGTTGAGGCTTTTCTTTCCCCCTGACCAGCCTCTGGCAGGGCTTTGGAAAAGCAGCCAAGTAGCTTTGAAAGCTTAGTGGGTGGCTCTACTCCTCCCTCACCCTATTCCTGACTCTCTGGAGAAAGCAGAGCACTTTCTGGCTTTCTAGACCTAGGTTGCTTTTCATGTCCCTGGAGCAGCCTCCTAGCTATTGCTATCACTACTGGAAAGGTATGGCATTTTATAGGCAGTGTTTTTTCTAATTCTCCTTATAACGCTTTGATAGGCAGATACTGTTTCATTTGATAAGAGAGGTCTGGTGGCCTGGTTGTTGTTAAGTGCCATCGTAGATGATTCATAGTGACGCTATGCACGAAAGACCTGAGAACTGTTTATGTTTCTGGAGGCAAGCCATTTCAGAAGTGGATGCCACTCCTGCTGCCAAGCTTGTTTTAGTTGGGAGGTTCCACCCAACACTGTCCACCTTGGGTAACCATTATCGCATTTGGCATATCAGTGTCACAGTGTTTAGCATCACAGCAACCACGAGTTACCTCTGTACAGCACTGCAGAACCAGTACTATACCACATAGAAGAATGTTTTACAAAAAACAGCAACAATTTAAACCAGGTCTGAGTGCCGCAGATTAAAATCACCCACTTTGGGCTTGGTAGCATAACTTTCTGTCCACTAGGGGTGGCCTAATGTTATTGTTGTTGTTACTGTGTGCCGTCGAGTTGCTTGCGACTCATAGTGATCCTGTGTACAACAGCCCTAAACTCTACTCTTTCCTGTGCCAATTGCACTGTCTCTGACTCTTCCCATCCTGTTACCCCAGTCACTGAATCAATCCACCTCATAGAGGTCCTTCTCCTGGCCAATTGGCAGCATCAGGATGGATGGTGAAGAGATTGAGATTGTTCACAGCTTTAGTTTGCTTGGCTCCACAGTCAACAGTCTTGGCACCAGCAGCCAGGAAATTAAAAGGCGCATTGCCATGGGAAAGTTTGCTGTTAGGGACCTCTCCAAAGTGCTGAAGAGCAGTGGTGTCTCTCTGGAGACTAAGGTGCGTCTGATACAGGCCTTGGTCTTCCCAATCACTTGTTATGCATCAGAGAGTTGGACAATGACCAAGGAGGATAGAAGTAGAATTGATGCCTTTGAGCTGTGGTCCTGGAGAAGAGTATTGAGAATACCATGGACTGCTAGGAAAACAAACAGATTTGTCCTGGAAAGGGTTAAACTGGGTGGCTCCTTGGAGGCAAGGGTTCTGAGGCTCCATCTAACATACTTTGGACATGTTGTGAGGAGAGACCGGCCCTTGGAGAAGGACATCATGCTTGGGAGGGTGGAGGGACAGCACAGGAGGGGAAGGGGTGGCCTAATAGTAAGGAATTAAAATATTGCCATCCCCAAAACACACAGTTTGAATCCGCTCGCTTTGCTTTGCAGGAGAAATATGACAATCTTACTTTTTCATTTGATAGGAAAACCCATCTCAAGGGAAAGGGATTTTTCAAAAGGTTACAGAGCTAGAACTCTCTTTCCATGGGGTTGATGGGCTGGTTGAAGATGGAATCCATTGAGGAGAAAAGCCCGTTCTTCAGTCACCCAGATGCCAGAACAAAAGTGGCACTGTGAAAACCTCCATAACATCTGTAGGATTCCCTCAATGTCAGGTGTACTTGGATTTGACCGTTCTAAGTAGGGAAGCTTTAAAGATTATGACGAAAGCTTACTTATTTGATAGTGTATAGTTGTAGTTCAGCGTGATTGCCAGATAGAAGCTGGATTCATCTGATACCAAAGTCTGAAACTTCTGAATGCTGCAGGTCTTGAAGATACAGCATGAAAGTAGAAGATTTCATCATATTAAAGACAGAAGTTGAATTGGCTAACCAGAAACTGTCTTAGAGAAGCAGTCAACTTGCAAGCAGACATGTGAGGTGGCGAAAGAAAGAGCAAACTACTTTTTTTCTGCCTTTACTCTTAGATTCTCTGCTAGATTATCTCTGAAGCAGAATACGTTTCTTGTCCCTAATGCCTGGCCAGAATTGATATTAACCAAGGCATCGTCTCTAGGGTTGGAGCTGAACTTTGTGACTCAGCAGGTCTGTAAGGTGAACAATAACAACAGGGCAGTATGCACTCTTACAGCAGTCAAAGGCAGCATTTTCCCTGAGGTAAGTCAATGCTAGGAAAGAGGAAAGACTGGAAGCGGAAAGGAAATTGGGAACATTACTCTATACTGAGAACTGTAATCATTGTCACACACACACACACACAAAGTGTGTGAATGGTTGAACAGAAAAACATCTTGGGATAAAATAGCTGTAGGAGGAACTCGATCTCTTTCCACTTTAGAGCCTTCTTGTTCGAGACCTCCAAACCATGAGGGCCAGGTGGAGGGAAAAGCGAATGTGCAGGCTGAAGCTTAAAAGAAGAAAGATGAGGCAGAGGTCCAAGTAAACGTGAGCATGTGCACCCACAGATGCCACAGCAGCAGGAGTAGAGTGCCACAGGGTGGGCACCCTGATACGAATTGGACTGCATGCTCCTGTTTAAAACTTCTGACTCAAGGGATCTAGAACGTCCATCACCATTCGATCACCATGAACATCTCTGAGAGGCCCACTTTCCTCCTCTGAAACGAGGCCTTTTTGATCTGTTGCTCTGGACCTATGATATTCTGGACTAACTCTGCATAGTTGTAGTTGGATGTCACGTGCACAATAAATCATCTCTTCTGCTGTCTTAGCCGAAGAATTAAAAAAAAAAAAATCCCCAAAACTTGCACTATAAACTTCCAGCCAAATCACAATAAAAAGTTAAAAATGAAAGAGTATTTGAAGTGG